ATGGCACTCGTAAAAATTTGAGTAGTCCGGGACATTTGGTGATGCACAGTTATGGAAAAGAGTAGGGGCTTGTGGCTATGATAATTTCCATATGTTAGTCAAGATATGAAGCAGACATAATTGTATTTGTTGTATCCTTTAAAAATTCAGGTCGACGATAAGAGGTCACAGTTTGATCAATTGGTGTAAACATGCTCAACAATCATAACAAAAAGGTTGTCAATAAATAGATCAAGCATCTTCACGTAGTCAGTACTTTTTGTTTTATCAAGAATTTATACGAGTTATTATTTGTCCATTCCTAAAACAAATTAGTTCTATCTATTTTGGTGATTCATATTTCTATCTATGTTGGTGATTCTTATTAATGAAACAAATTTGGACCAATTCTTTTTCAATCTGTCTTATTTATACTCACCGAAGAATTGTATCAATATATCTAGAATTAGAAAAAATTAAAAAGGTCACTTCAGACTACATTTTCTTTCAAATCAAAATTTCCAATTCAAGAATATACGTACAGTGAAATGACTTTTTCTATACTGGTTCCACTAAGTCAGACAGAGAAAATATCGATGTGATCACTATAGAAAATATGACAAGAGAACATATAAATGAGTTTATGTCTGTTTGATAAACAGATACATGTTTATACAACATGTAAAAAGTATGACATTTCGTAATACAAATTTATTTGTTATAAACCATTGTCAATATCTACAGGAATATCCTATTTATCTTCATTCTAAGAGATTTAGATATCCTCATAGAATGCAATTGAAGAAGCACTCCATGAACGTCATGAAAATAACATTTATTAAAGAACCTGAATTCGAAGTTTCGAACGGAAAAGGAATTATATTTCAAGTTATAAGCAGACAACTTTTGCATGAGAATAAGCTCAAGATCAAGTGGATATATATTCTTTTAAATGAAAAAACTCTTAAATATTCTTTTATTTTAAGAAAATAAGGGAATGAAAGTGATGTGCATGAGATAACAAGCCTGTGCATATGCACGTTAATTGTTATGTTGGTGTCGGATTTTATTCGCGATTACATGATAAAAACGGGCAGGGAACTGTTAACTGAGTTAACTTTATAATTCACGAATAAGAGTTATGTCTTATGCGTTTTTAGTATATATTTTAAAATATAACTTAGGCTTATTTTTAAATGAAAAGCTGATCGCAAATTAGTAAAAATTAAGCATACACCAAACTTTTAAGTTCTATACGTAAAGTGGTCATACGAGATATATAACAAAGTTTCAAAGTCACTAGTCAGTAAACAAACAGAGAAAAACTTATGATGAAGCTATTCACAATTGTGACCAACGATTGCACTAATAGAGTTGCTGTAGTATTTCATGAGCAAGAGTCACAGTATGAGTCTGTAGAATGTATGCGCGTCTGGTATCTATGATGAGTTTATCTGTAATTAATTTGCCATCACAGGCATGGACAGATGGTATGTTATTAGTCAAGAAAGGGAAGTTTACAAAAGTGAAAATTGATGAAACGCGCGTCTGGCGCAAATTCAAAATTTCAATCCTGGTATCTATAATGAGTTTATACACAACTACTGGGTCGATGCCACTGCTGGTGGAGTTTTTATTCCCCGAGGGTATAACCAGCCCAGTAGTCAGCACTTCTGTGTTGACATGAATTATCATTGATATGGTCATAATTATAAATTAACTGTTTACAAAACTTTACATTTTTGAAATACTAAGGCTTTCTACCTCAGAAATAGATTACATTAGCTGTATTTAGAAAAACTTTTAGGAATTTTTGGTCCTCAATGCTCTTCAACTTCGTACTTTATTTGGCCTTTTTTACTTTTTTTTATTCGAGCGTCACTGATGAGTCTTTTGTAGACGAAACGCGCGTCAGGCGGAAATTCAAATTTCAATCCTGGTATCTATGATGAGTTTAATTGAATCATTACAGATCCCCGTATCAGTTGTCTATCAGCATTGTTAAAACAAATATGAAGCAGACCTTCTTGTTTCTGTAACAAAAGGTTTACGGGGATATATGATATTCTCACGAAAAAAAAGGATTATCAATACAACTGAAAGTAATTCCAAAGTTCAAGCTAGATGTTCTTTACTTGTTTTTAGGTAGGAATTGTATAAATTCTACCTCATATGAGTATAAAAACAAATCGACCATCAGGGTGCGCAATTAGTACTAGTCCTGCACCCTACTTCTGTCAGTTGAAATGGTTTTTCTTCAACTCAACAAATAAATCATCGATTTAAAGGTCCAGCGTTTTGATAACTTATTATCTGAAAAACATATAAATGTATTTAAACTAAGATTGCATCTTTCTTAAGAGTTGGCCTTATATGCTAATAGATTTCTGTTTATGCCCTTTTGTGGTCTGAAGCTCCAAAAATTCATATATTTGTTAAAGTTAGTCTCAAACGTACCAGATAGTGGTTATTCAAGAATCTTGAGATCGGTACCATGTTTGGTTTAATACTGTTCTACTTTTATGTCTAAAGAAAGGCTAAAGCAAATGCTTTACAAGTCAACATTGTTATCACGATCTGACAAATCGTTACGATATCAGTTTCTTTACTCGCAATGGACAAAATGTTCTTGTCAAAGATCCATCACTGTATATATACTATTTTTATCCATCCGATTTTGTTATCATCGGTTAAATGGTTTTCACATTGCTTCTGGACATAAATTTTAACTTGCATGAACACTATAGGTAATGCTTACTTTTTCGACGCAATTGATGTCATGGCTTGGAGTTCGTGTAATTTATAATTTTGCGTCCATATTCGTTATTAATTAGACTTCGTCTGATAGATGAAAGAAAAATTGTTATACTTAATTTAAAATATCTTGTTTCAGCCGAAAGATAAAAAACAAATAAAAAGTACACACAAACCTGAAATCAACAGGATCGTAGTATTCCAGTTCATCTCGGATTTCTTTTATCAGACCTTGATAATAAAGTAAGTTTGATAAGCAGATCTTTATAACGCAACAATGTCTATGTTTAATCATTGTCAAAGAATTGTTCCGGTCACGCATTACTGTGTATACTTCAAACCAAAATCAAACTAAAAACTTGATTCTCGTCGTAGGATTTTTGTTTAGAATTTCGCAGGATAATCAAGATGGAAAGAGTAAGACTTGTGATTAAGTTTTAAAACAAATTAATATCCGTTGACTTTCTAAAATGCAAAGAGATGCTTCTTTGATTTCATAACTTGCAGTTTTTTTTTATGTCCAATAACCGTCAAATGGTATTATGCAATAACGCTTTTACATGACAAATTATTGTTATCTTCGAGCAAGTATTTTTGTATTTACAAAACCTCTGGTTTGTTCGTCAAAATAGTGAAATACAGTTTCTGTCTTTAAACGCGTTGTGGAAAGATACTTGTAAGGGACCATGACGTCATCATTTTATGATGTCTTTGAAGTTAGAAAACTTATCGTTTTCAGACAAAGCCGGATTTAACCTTGCTTTGGAATACATTCTTTTAAAAATATTTAGAAGTTTGGTTAAGGAGAAGCTACGATAAGGCAACTCGTTTATCGTTTATGTCGTGTTATATCATCATATTCATTTTTCTATACAAATACAATTTCAGGGGTCATATAACGGCTCTTATCGTACCTTGAAATCTCAAAATTAAACTCTATTCTCCATACATTGTATTTTGTTAACTTCAAGTGGTACAAAGTTCAGACTTAGAGAAGAAAGAAGAGCTTCCGAATAAAAGACCAGAATGACGATGTGTTTGATTCATTTAACATACCTTCTTCTCTTCTTCCTACAGAAAAGCACAATATGACATTCATGTCGATATTAAATTGATTTTCTAGCATTCAGTGGCTAGGTTAATTAGTAACGGTAACTGGTCCTCATACCTGTAATAAGTCAGGCAAAAATCGCCACACTTTCAACTCGATTCTCGTTGCTAAAAATACTCATATATTACAACAAGGTTTCTTATTGTAGTATTCGTTAAATAACTTACAAGAAAAGTGAATGTCTTGCAAGTGATATGCAACTTTTAAAGTCTCTAAACAGAAAGGATATCCGTTCGTTCCTTTAGTCTATATGATTAAAAAAAAAACAGAATTTACCAAGGAAAAGAGGGACGAAAGATACTAGAGGGACAGTCAAACCCATAGATCGAAAACAAACTGACAACGCTATGGCCAAAAATAAAAAGACAAACAGACAGATAATAGTACAGATGACACAACATAGAAAACCAAAGACTAAGCAACACGAACCCCACCAAAAACTGGGGGTAATCTCAGGTGCTCCAAAAGGGTAAGCAGATCCTGCTCCACATGTGGCACCCGTCGTGTTGCTTATGTTATTACAAATCCGGTAAATAGTCTAATTCGGTAAGTCACATTCGTGAAAAGGGAGGGTATTGAAGTTACGACATAAGGAACATATCCGATATCATTTGTGAAATGGTTATTCCACAACAGTCAACCAACTCGTGATGGCGTCCGTAAAATTCACGAAGGGATGACTTCAACTTCACCATTTGGAACTCTTGGTTTAATAGCTTCCTTGCGAGCAGCAATCCTCTATCAAGGAAATCAAGATAGGAAACACAAGCCCGGGAATATCGTTCATTTAAATCATAAATCAAAAGAGAGGCAGACAAAACAATAACTTAAACGGAAAACGACGAAAATAAACAGTACAAAACACTATAAATTCACTGTGTGAATGACGATTTCTAATAATTTTTTATAATGGAATATATATTTCAATATACTAAAGTGCTAGGCAATATTTTGTATAAAGTAAAATAACAAACGTACCGAACTCCAAGGAAAATTCAAAACAGAAAGACCCTTATCAAATGGCAAAATCAAAATCCCAAACACATCAAACGAATGGAAAACAGTTGTCATATTCCTGACTTGGTACAGGCATTTCCTTATGTAAAAAATGGTTGATTAAACCTTGTTTTATAGCTAGCTAAACCTCTCACTTGAATGAAAGTCGCATAAAATTCCATTATATTGACAACAATATGTGAACAAAACAAACAGACATAATAGGTAAAAATGTCAAAAATAGGGGTAAAGCAATAAACATTGTGTTATAATCTTAATCACTATAAATAGTTATCAAAGGTACCAGGCTTATAATTTAATACGCCAGACGATCGTTTCGTCTACATAAGACTCATCAGTGACGCTCAGATCAAAATAGTTATAAAGCAAAAGAAGTACAAAATTGAAGAGCATTGAGGACCCAAAATTTCCAAAAAGTTATGCCAAATACGGCTAAGGTAATCTATGCCGGGTATAAAACAAACAAATATGTCAACAAAGAAAAAGAAAATAGCATATAGACTATAACACGTAATTAAGATGCTAAACAATGTCAGTACCGTGAATCTATACTTCAAGACCATCATGCATTATTTTATGTATTTCGTTACAATGGTGAATGATATACATAATTCCATCAATAATAGTTATCGGAGTTCATGTCCGAGAAATTGCTCTTAATTTGAAACTACCAGGAGAATATGTAACACCCAATTGTCCTTTGACTGGTGGTGGACTTTCCCCTTCTGGTGGTAGAATTTCAAACCTCTGAACCAAAGCTGTAAGGTATAGAAACACTTCCATTCTGGCAAGGGATTCTCCTAAGCAGACTCTTCTACCTAAAATGTAAATAAAATCTCGTAAAGTGACAGATATTTTATACAATATTTTGTCAAATTGTCAATTTTCTTGAAGTTTATATATCGCTTCCAATTTGGCTGTTCATATATGGAATTGTTTAATATATTTTATTGTCATCAGTTTACTGTTAAGTTTAGGCAACTCTTTACAAGAACTGTAACTACATAATAATATTTAAAAAAATTATTAAGCCAAAAGGACAGCTTTCATGGACAATTCAGAAGAGTGTAAAATGGTGGTTTTTCAAACGGTTATTAACCCATCCTTCCGCGAAAAAGTCCCTTTCCTTATCATAAATGTCGTAAAAGTATTGATCAATTCATTGAACCGATATACTTGTTTAACAGCTTTCTAGCAATGAAAGTATTTTCCCTTAAAATTGAGAAGTCGCATTCAAACACGTGCTTATTGAAAAAAACTGAGAAATGTAAATAAACTTTAAGGATCAAGAAGGGAAAAATTATGGTATGAAGATTTCCGTAGGAAATAATATCGTCAATATAACGGAACTATAAAAAAAAAACTGTCAGACAAGTGGGAGGTTTAGCTAGATATAAAACCAGATTTAACCCACCATTTTACTTCGGAAAAATCCTGTACCAAGTCAGGAATATGACAATTGTTTTCCCTTTGTTCCGTTGGTTGAGATAGTCTAACATTTGATTTTGTCAGATTTTATGGACTTCCCCCTTTTTGAATTTACCTTGGAGTTCTTTATTTTGTAAATACTTTTTTCTGATATCAATGCCATAAAAATAAAAACAACTGGTTTTTCAGAAAAAAACACATGGCGAGCGCACGGAAATTAGTATAGTTTTTACTTCTGCTTGGTCGATAACCCTGTAGATATTCCCAAAAGATTCCATCAGCCCAGTAGCCATTGCTTCGATATTTATTTGTAATTGTTTTGTCTGTAAATTTTCCATTTGTTAATTATTTAACGACACAACGACAGTTTTTGAAATAACCTTCATTAGGAATGCTGGAGAACAAAAACTAAAAAAAACTTTTAGGAGCATTGAAAAATGAATATTAACATCCAACACCGTCTGAGGTACAATTGCTTGAAGGAGTTGTATTAACGTAATTCTATTACCTGGATATTTACATAAAAAGGTATCCCAATCACAAAGCACGTGTTGCTAGGCGGATGATAGTCAACTAGGAGCGATACCGACTTACTTTCGAAATTAGTTAAAAAAAATAACTCTGTACAAGAGGTGATACAGTTTATCGCCATCAGAATACGGTTTTTACCAATTACTTGGCGATAAACTGTATCTATAAAAAAAAACACAATATTGCCAGCAGAAAATATGGATTTAATTACTTCTTTCCTTTTCATTTCGTTTAATTGTTTTTTATTTCTTTAAAAAATGGTTACAAAATTGCTCGAATGACAACTGGTAGATCATCGACATTTAATTGTTTTTAAAAAGTAAAATAACAAAAATACCGAACTCCAATGAAAGTTCAAAACGGAAATTCCTTTATCAAATGGCAATATAATATTCCTGACTTGGCATTTCCTTATGTAGAAAATGGTGGATTAAACCTGGTTATATAGCTAGCTAAACCTCTCACATACCGTGGATTCGTAAATCTTCGTGTAATAGTGTAATAACAATTTAAGTGGATTTCGAAGATGTATGGAAATTCAAATACAAGTTTCTTTGTAAATAAATGAATCCACGTATAAGGCACGAAATCCTTTAATTGCTGTAAAGGTTCACCGAAAGAAATTAATCTTTTCGGAACCGACCTGAAACTCCTAATTGTTTATTGCTACCACCGCAATACTGCTGAGTGAACACTATCAGTTCACAAGGATATTAGTCAATGAGTCTGCCACACGCAATTATCTGCATATTTTTTGGCAGCCGTCATACAAAGAGAAAGAAGATACCTAGGGGCAATAAAAAACAAGAAGTCGAATAAAACCAAAACAACACCATGACCAAAATAGACATAAAAAACAAACGGTTCATCAACATCACGAACCCGACAAGATATGATGCAGTCTTAACCGTACTTGTGGTACATGTATATATAGAAATAAGGAGATGTGGTATGATACTTTATTTCAAGTTCAATTGAAATATGATGATGATAGTCCACAAATTAACTTGAACGGACATCATCTATATTGAGGAACGTGGAGTTAAAGGATAATGCTTGCTTAATTCTTTTAATATTTTTAAAATCTCCTGCAAGAGTTCTGCCACATAAGAATATAAAATGGCAAGTTGGCAGTTTGATATCATAGAAATATCGATTTTTTTTGTTAAACATTGCGTCTTCCAAGCAAAACAGTGATTTTTGATAAAATAAATCAATCATCTTGATAATGTCAGTGTCAGAATCAGACTTATGCTATGGGCTTTGCTCATTGTTGAAGGCTGTACGGTGACCTATAGTTGTTAATTTTTATGTTATTTGGTCTCTAGTGGAGAGTTGTCTCATTGGCAATCATACCACATCTTCTTATTTTTATATTGATTGTTGAAATATAAAGTATGATGCTTTCCTTCCTCAAACTAGGCTTCTGTATCAGCGTTGGCCATTCCTGTTTATGAAACAACTAATTCGTTCGATCTGTCTTTTAGTTTAGAACGAGGAATACTTATGAGGAATAGAGAGTAAACTGTTTTTATACTAGATCACGAGGAGAGAGACAATATTCATCAATTGTTTCAACAAAATCCATTTAGAATTATCTTACACATGCATACGTGATCTACTGATTTTTTAAATTGCTCAGTTTTTTTATGTTCCAGTTAATGCTACCAAGTGCTGTTATTTCCGACCTTCAAAAAATTTGGTCTGATATCTTCCTTATGGGGCTTCTTAAAAATATAAATATCGTTTTAATTCTGATCTTACTTCCAATAATAACATACCTAAGGAAAACGATAATATCTTGTCCTGTCCACATATCTTCCCATTTTCATCAAGAAACCTATCAGGCTTAAAAGACTGGCTGTCTGGAAATAAGTTTTCATCATGAGCAACAGAATCAAGACATGGCATAATAACTGCGTTTTTCGGTATCATGTATCCTTTAAAATATATATCTTCAGATACATTATGGGGCAGAGAAAAAGGCACTACATTTCCTAGTCTAAAAGTCTCAATTACGACAGCTTCACAGTAAGGGAGATTATGTTTGTCCGACATTATGGGGAGACGTCCATTGCCAACTATGTCGTCGATTTCTTGTCTCATTTTGTTCTGTACGTCCATATCATTCATCAGGTAAACAAACGCCCATTCTATAGTTGTCGCCGAAGTTTCTGTGCCGGCACCAAATAGATCAGCTATTACAGACAGTAACTGCTCATCTGTAAAATACTAAAACAATTAAGTATTCCTTGAACACTAGTATAATGTACAGTGGTACCGAGGTATTTTTTTAAATGAGCTAATCCATAATAAAGAAATAACTAGTGAGATATTTAATTAAAACTGATGTAATTCATATCCTTCGTTTTCAAAGAAAAAAACGTCAAGTAAAAAAGCAATCCTTTGAAAATGCCATATTTATCTTGCAACAACTCTGATTTTCTGACGCCTTTTTAATTTCCATGTGCACTAAAATTCTTAGTCCGATTTCCATGTCTTAAAACCATTTGTTGGCATGATATGGGTTATGTTCTTCTCATATATCTTATGATGGTATGATAATAAACCCCTAACGGGAGGGATTGTGCTTGATTTTCATATGATGAAGACATAATCTATCAATCAGTTTAATTGAGGTCTGGAGCTTGCATGTCAGTAACTGCTAGTAGTCCTTTGTTAATTTATGTATGTTTGTCATTTTGCTTAGTTTCTTCTGTTACCTATTCTGACATCGGACTCGGACTTCTTTTAAACTGAGATTTACTGTGCGTATTGCTGTGTGTTTGTTTATTCTACATTGGCTAGAGGTACAGGGGAGGGTTGAGATCTCACAAAACATGTTTTACCCCGCCACATTTTTACGCCTGTCCCAAGTCAGGAGCCTCTGGCCTTTTTTTAGTCTTGTATGTTTTTTTTTTAATTTTAGTTCATTTATATGTTTCGGAGTTTATAGTGTGACGTCCATTTTCACTGAACTAGTACACATTTTTGTTTAGGGGCCAGGTGAAGCCCGCTTCCGGGTGTGAGATTTTCTCGCTGTGTTGAAGACCCATATTGGTGGTCTTAGGCTGTTTTCTGCTCTTTGGTCGGGTTGTTGTCTCTTTGACACATTTTGATTTTGAGATTTAACTACGGAAAAAACACCACTTTTGCTAAACAAAAATACCAAATATGAAAATAAGATGTGCTATGATTGCCAATGAGACAACTTTCCAAAAAAAAACGAACAAGGATATAAACAATTATTTTGTGCCAGACTGCGTTTTCCAAACTAAACCCTACTATTCTTAATCAGAATACGTCTCCAAGTCTCCAGCCAGCAATAAGTATTGTATTATCCGAATTGAGTGTGAAGCAACTAGCTATTACGGCCATTTGGTGATTCGGTTTTTACCTGTATAATATTCATTGCTTGTCTCTACTGTCTTCATTTGAACCAAGTAAGCATCAATGAAGTCTCGAATGTTGTTCTCGTCCAGAGTATCTCTGTGCTCCTTTAGTTCTTCGCCGAAAAAATTATCGAAAAAGTCGTTAGCAACTTCTAAAATGCGTTTGGCTCCAAACGGATCTCCAGGTAATTTTTCAAGAATGGGAATGAAATTAAGTGCGCCAGAGAGTGCTGCTGTATTATTAACCTCGTCAAGAAGATTCACAAAATATCTAAATTTAGGATCATCATATTCAAACCGCCGTCCAACGGTAATGGACATGACATTGTTGGACAAACTGGTACGAATTATACCCGAGAGATCAAAAGACTTTCCTTTGAAAGATTCTAGTAAATTAAGAAAGTTTTCAATTTCTTCGAGTATACTAGATTCAAAACTCCTCTTCCCAAAACCAAAGTCTCGTAACTTTGAAAGTGCAAAAGTTCTTTGATGTTTCCAGTTAGGACCACTACTAGCTATTACTCCTAAAAAACATAAAGAAGATTATAACACAATGTTGACTGCTGTACCCCAATTTTTTACATTTTTTCCTAGAATGTCTGTTTGTTTTGTTCACACATGATTGTTGTCAATATAATGGAGTTATATGCGACTGTCATACAAGTGAGAGGTCTAGTCAGCCATAAGTCAAGGTTTAATCCACCATTTTCTACATAATGAAATGATTGTACCAAGTCAGCAACATGACAGTTGTTTTCCATTCGTTTGATGTGTTTGAGCTTTTGATTTTGCCATTTGATAAGAGACTTTCCGTTTTAAATTTTCCTTGGAGTTCGAAATTTTTGTTGTTTTACTTTTTAAAATGTACAACATTTGTAGGTAATTTGATCAATGAATTAACACATGAAGTTTGCGAATACAAAATGAAAATATTTGAAAAATAAATTTGGCAGGTCGGCGGATCGCAAAAATAAAACATCGCATTTTTGCCGGAGGTCCTCGAATCGCAATATATGTGCACGCTATATATAATTTCTGAATCTACAGTATATAAACTACTGTTACTGTATAAATATCGTAAGGATAAATCCAAAGGCACATTAATTAAGTGAAAATAAGTTAGAAATAAAGAATGTTCTCTAGTCAAAAAAAAAAAGAGAAAGAATAAATGGGTTCCATGTATATTATTACATTATTGAACAATTATTTGGAAACATGAATTTCAAAGACGATGAAATAGACGAGAAATAAGCCTCTGAACGTCAAAAGTGCTGAATTTAAAATCAAATAGACAGTAATATAAGTTTTGACAAAAGGCGGTTGGTGAAGATGGGGAAACTGGAGATATAAAGACATATCAGGCAACGATGTAATAGATTTAACAAAAGAAAGAAAAATTTATTACTTGTGGGCAAAATTGAATAAAAGATATTGTAAAAGACATACAAAATGAATAATAGATGATCATGTGAATTTATAAAACGGGTGGTTTGAAGTAGAGAGAAAATCGATAACAGGTACTCTGTTGGATGATACAGGAATTCAAAGAGGTACCAAATGAGTTTTAAAATCAAATGTGAAGCTTATGATATGAATGATGAAATCAGTAACCGACAAAAAACCAGATGATCAGCGGTAGACTTGTTTGCCAAAATATGTAACAGCTAGGGGATCTGAAAGACAAAATCTGTAAAAAATTCAATTTGAAATGATAGCAGTTCAAAGTATGCCTTGGATGAAATATGCATGTTGGAACGTTTTAGATATGAAATATGAATATGATTCGTTTCGTATTAAATTTTGGTAATAGTTGTAAAAGGTATACATGGAGAAAACAAGGAGTCCTGACAAAATCGACATAACAGGCGGACATGTTAGGAAGTTATCGATAAAATTAGTATGAAATGTGTAATAAGAAACATTTTCGACAAAGCACTTAACAGATAAAACATTTCAAGGACAATACAGGTGAGAAAGACTAACAGTAACAGACTAATAAAAGGCAAATAGATAACAGATTAAATAGATAAGCAGTTAAGAAAATGAGGGATGAAATAAGGACATATTGAACAGGTGGACAACTTGCGATATACGTCATAATCAATCAAATTAATGATTTGAAACAATTTTAGAATATGACAGGTACGTCTAGTACCTAGAAAGGGAAGAATGGTTCAACTTTTCAGCTGTTTGTCACAGGCACTTGTATCTGAAAAATAACTTTACCTATATACCTTCAATTATATGATTAAGGTGTATACTAGGTAATTTCTTTTTCAGAGACAACTGCCGGTGCTTTTTTGTATTGCAAAGGATGAATTAGTCGTCGAGTTTTCATTAAAACTTCAGAATGAGAAAAAAATTACAATAAGACAATATATTACGTTTAAGATTAATAAGTATAAACGCATCAAATTTAAGTTACCAGATATACATACTAACTAGTCTACCCCATGAATAAAAGAGATTTAGGACATTAGTCAATCAGACAGCTCTTCAAACCCAACATGTAAACTAATGAGCATGTACTTCTTATAAAAGTACAAAAACACGTCGAATAGAAGGTAAAATAATATACGATTTGAAACTGTTACAATAGTTTGTATAGGGTTAACAAAATTCCATACCAGAACATGACTAATTAGATGTAATTGTATAGCCAATATTCTTTAGCAGTACTTACCTTTATTTTTAACAAGTTTGAAAATAAATAACGGTGGTCTGTCTGAAGTTTCGTTCGCATTTTTTACAAATAACTCTCTCAAATTTTCACTGCCATTCACAAAAACTACCCAGTATGATCCCAACGATAGACTTATTATATCACCATACTTTTCGCGTAGATCCCTAATTGCTTGCATGAAGTCCTTCTTGGCTACATTATGCAGATTTCCAATGATAGGTAATGGTGTCGGCCCTGGAGGGTATCTTGGTGGTCTTCTTGATCTAAGCCATAGCACAGAAAACAAAACGAAGATTAGAAATAATAATAAGTCAAACAAAGTCATGTCAATCCAGAAAACAAGCATTGTCATGAATTCCAATTATCAAACATCTTTATGTTACATAAAATTTCTGATCCTATGAAAACACATCAAGTTAGCAAACGCGTATAATTATATCATGAAGGAAATTGATGTAAAGTTCAATATATAGCACAATGATCTATTATACCATGTATACTGAACACAGGTATTTTAACATTTTTATAAATAACCGTTTGAATTATATATTACGATGGTTTAACATCTCATATTTCATAATTGAATATTAAAATACTTATTCTGACAAAATCAGCATTTACATATGTTATAATCAACAATAAAAAATTGATTTGCTAATACTTATATTGAATAATAATAATTATCATATTCCACAATTATAATCAATATAGTAAATAACGGCGACAGAACAAAGACACTTATATACATCATTCACTGACTGAGAATATCGATATTGGGGAATGTCAACAGGAAATTCTTATAAAAAACTGAATAGAAATACATTGGTTTATAATTAATTCGATTCATATATCTGTGAAAATTATTTTTGCGCTTTAATTATGTGGTAACAAAGAATTATTGTGATGTTTAAGGAGCTCGTGTTTTATGTAGTCGGCATGGTTTGTTCGAATTTATTAGGGAGCTACCATTTGATTTTTATGGGGGCTAGGATGAAAAATTTTGTCCTGCCTTTTTTTTTAGTTGTAATCTCTGTCCTGACTTTTTTTAGTTGTAATCTCTGTCCTGCCTTTTTATTTTTCACTCTACTCGGTCCTGCCTTTTTTTTATTAGTTTATCCTGACTTTTTTTACATAAATTGTCATCCTGCCTTTTTTTTTTTGCCAAGTTGCTCATCCTGCCTTTTTTTTACTCTAAACTCCGTTCCTGCCTTTTTCAAATTTCATCCTAGACCCCCCCCCCACACACACACACACCCTCTACCCTCCCAACCCCCCAACCCCCCCCCCCCCCCCCCCCCCCCGTAAAAATCAAATGGTAACTCCCTAAGATGATATTTTCTAATTTAGTCAGCACTTCTTTGTTGACATGAATGATCATAAACATGGTCATAATTATAAACTAACTGTTTACAAAACTTTGAATTTTTCGAATACTAAGGATTTTCTGCCCCTGGAATAGATTACATTACCTTTCGGCATTTTGGGTTCTCAACGCTCTTCAACTTCGTACTTGTTTTTGGCCTTTTAACTTTTTTGATTCGAGCGTCACTGGTGAGTCTTTTGTAGATGAAAAGCGCCGCGACTGGCGTACAAAAGTTGAATCCTGGTATCTATGATGAGTTTATTTGCTACCTTTAATCAATACGAGAATAATTGTAATGTACTTTGAATGTTATAAGTGTGCATCGCTGCTAAATGACTTGTGTTTGTATATTTTGTACTGATATTGAAGATGGATGTATATACAAATATTTCTGATAAATTAATGATACAGCTTCCATTGCATTTAATTCTTTTTCCATATGATCAAATTTTGTATTTGACAAGTTAAGAAAGAGACATCTACTTTCTAACAACTGTAGGAACCTTGCTTTTTAAAAACAATATGGTTTTATGCATATCAGCAAAGATATCTTTGGTCATGTGTTTTTTACAACCACTGGGTCGATAACACCGCTGTCCCCGAGGGTATCACCAGCCAAGTGGAGTGACATGTTCATTTTTTTGTAGATTAACTGTAGTTTATTAAGTGTAAAATTATTCGAAATAGTACAGTTTGGCGTGTCTTCCGAGGTGCGTAGACTATCTTAGTCGTATTTGACACATTTTTCTGAATTCTCGGTTTTTAATGCTCTTCTGCTTCGGATTTGATTTGGCCTTCAAATTATTTTGATTTGAGCTTCACCGAACGGATGAGTCTTATGTAGGCGAAACGCGCGTCTGGCATACCAATTTATAAGACTTGTATCTTAGATGAGTTTTTACTATCCTTATGATGTTAAAATCAAAGTCTGTTTTAAACCAAAACAAAACTATATATAGCCAACGAAAACGCAAAACTCCGGCATTAGAATCTGAACGTAAAAAATATGATAATAAGGAAATGTGGTATGATTGCCAATGAGATAACTAATCAGGCTATAAAGACTTAAGGGTGAGGATGTAAAAAAAATATAGGCAAAAATAGTTCATGGTGTACAATCTCATTTCCTTGTGTTTCCTGCATCTTTCCGAGACCCTTTGCGAGAAATAGAATTATCATGGTTAAGTCACTGTTGCTATTTAGACAATTTGAAGAGTGTCAGACATAATTTTATGCAACTTCGAAAAATATATGGTAGACAGAACGCACATGTTACCTTGACTCTGAGAATAGTATACTGTCAATATATATGTCCCAGGTCAATTGACTATAACTGGGCACCGGTATTTAAAGGTGTTTTTTTTTCAAACAAAAAAGTCAAACTAAGCCTTTCCAAAATCCAGCTAAAGATATTTGATATCGATAGTGCATCTTTAATTTTTGGATTGACCTGCTTCTAATGTAACCTATCTTACTGCTACTAGAACTTTACTTTGAATACTAAATATATAGATGTACATTGTGTATATCGCAATGGTAATCGCAGCTTGCACCACTGTGTGAGCATGTTTAGTTTTGAAGGACATGTATCATTTAAACAGATATATTCATATAGTCCGAGAAGCCGTTGGACGTCAGAGCAATCTCGGACTAATTGTTATTCATATAGCCAGAGACATATAATACAAGAGATTCGCAACTCTAGTAGAGTCTATATAACAGCCAATGAAATGACGTGGCCACCGGAAAGTCGGTTAATCCGATGGATTTATGGGTAAAAACCCGCTATTGTAGTGAAAAAGGTTCTACCGTACTCCTCACGATTTTTTTAATGGATAATGCCGATACCTTTCACAGCTAAAGCATGCGAGTATATTAAAAAGTTACAAAAAACTAATTCTAATAATTTGTTATTGATAAAATGTGTTCTAATGATGAGATGAGATTAATCAACAAATGTGGCGATTTTTTCTTATTGATACCGAAGCCAGCTGTGCTGGTACTATCATTTTATCTCGTGAAACTTGGAAATGTGCGAATAAATATTCAATTGTATGGGGCTATATAACTCTCAGATGTTATGTCGTGAAAATAAGACCAGTTTCGTAAAATTTGATCCAACAGTTATTTCTAAAAATATCAACAAAGGTGACTATTATTTTGTTATTTATACACAAAGCCAGCTATGCTAATTTTATCAATCTGTTTCGTCAAAACTAGAAATTTACAAATAAATATGTCATATTATGGGGATATATATTACTCCCAATTTTTTTTCTTTTCTTTTCTTTTTTTTATTAAAATGGCTAAATATTGAAATTGTTCATGGACAAATTTCCTTAAATCAGTCCTTCGTTTTTATGCACTATGAAATTTATAGCCTGCATTTTGTTAGACAATTTATTCATTTTTCATTCTGTTTATGGCAAAGTTGTTTATTTTCTCCTATTCTGAAGTCATTGTTTTTTTCTTCTTTTTAGAGTGCCAAAGATGAACGAATGCAGTAAATTTACAAAATGAGTAAAATTTTCCTAGTAAAGGAAACCTTCTGCTGGTCGTAATATTATGAATGAGCTTCATGCATCTGTTGTCGTTTCAGACTACGCTTCTCATTTAAAACATGAACTTAATTCATTTCTAAATTAAAATCGTATTGAGGACATTTCAATGGTGACTGCAAAAGATATATATATATATATTTGACAATAAAAGATTTTATTTACACCAAGGATTTGTATATGTATACACATAAACAATCTTACTTTTAAACTGCCATCTCTTTACCCCAGAATAAAAAGACAAAAACCACTACAAATGATTAAAAGACAAAAACCACTACAAATGATTGTCTCGTGGAAATAAGGTTATAAAATACTTTTTAAATAGTGTCTTCCATGTTGCTTTGATGTATGACCTCGGCTTCCACTTCAATGTTGTGTTTTTTTATAGATTTTTTGTTGCTTCGAGGTCACACATATCCATCTATGTATGCAGTATTGTCAATTGTTTTTGTTGGTGGGTCTCTCGCTTATGATTTCGTCCTTTTCACTATCAACAAAGAGTTCGTTATCAGTTTATTCAACTTGGAGTGTATCAAAGTCGTAACTATTAAGATTATCATCCCACGAAATAAAATCGGAATTTTCCATATTGCGTGCACATGAATGAAGCTTTATTCATGTGAGAAATTAATTGTAATTTTCTTAAATAATATTAATTCTCAATACACACTTCGAACATGAAGAAACCATAAATTTACCGACAATCATTTAAAAAACAACTCAATGCAAGCCTATGATGAAACTGTCAAACAACACTTAGAAATCAAACATTTACCGACAATCCTACAGAAAAAACTCAATACAAGCCCAATAAATAATGAATATAAAAATAAATAGAATTTTAATAATTCATAAATATCAAGAATAAAAAACAAAGCCTATCATGATTAACAATTAATTAACAAATAAATTAAGTTTTTTTCCACATTAATTAATTTTTCATTTTTTGAATTGTATTTTTGGAAAGAGTGTGGATACCTGTGGTGTATGTCTCTGATATAGCCTAGCTTAGCTACCGCAAAGTCAATGAATAAAGTGAGACATGTGGAGAAATGGTTATTACGGTGTCAAAAGGTGATACTACAAAAAATGTATATTGTCTGAAATTTGAAGAAAAATTCATCATGAGAAAATGGCTCAATTTTGAACATTTATTCCAAATATTTTAACAAACCTTCCTGCCAGAAATATTTATTTTATTATCAAATTTAACACAACAATAATTACTAAAACTCTGTGACATAAACTTTCTAAATTCAAGCATTTTTATAGACAGGCTCATTAAATAAATAGGCTTAAGTTAAAGTGCTCCAAGCAAGGAGGATTACACACAAGTGTAATAAAATTTTACCTGTTAACATTCGATTCGTTCCACTAGTACCAAAAAGAACCATGGCACTTTCAGAAAAACAAGTTCAAAAGGTTAATTGAGAAACGAGTAATACATTGTACATCTTTTTTAACTTCTGATTAAATGTGGATCACAACATCCTACAGTATCTATAGTTTTCTTATACACAGCTTGATTCAGTCTCATGTCGTCCCATTTTCCCCAACTACAATTATATAACTTCATGAACTTCTTGATCTGTTGATTTAGCTGTGGAAAATAAGAAGTATTTTGCTACTTTAGTGAGTAAATTCTAGTAGTAAGCACAGCATTTCGAATTAAAAATATTAATGCTAAAATGTGTTAAACAGAATGTTAATGTCAAAAGCATCAGTGGGCGTAGTCCAAATAATTATGACGGATCCAGAAATGTCTTCTTGCTGGGGAAGGCTTAATTAAAGGTAGAACACAAAACAGGGTTACAAGAGGAATGTCTAGAGCCAGCAGTTGGACCTTTAAACATTTTCTCGAGGGTACCTGGACTACAGAAATTGGAATAAATTTCTTTTCTTAGTATGGCCTAAGGCTGTTTGACTGTGCAGTATGCTTTTTTAAAGAAGCTAAATTATCAGGTTGGAATTGGCCATTTAGGTGTTCTAATTGATGATTAGTGTAAGGAAGTACTCCATTCTCTGCTCATTTGAAGTACCCTTTCACCAAATCTTTCAGTAAGTGATACTTTATGATCCAACATGCCCTATTGGCTAATGATCCAGTGGCTATCAAAATTTTTAATCTGGGTCTGTTCCCTCATTATCTCTTTCGCCCACTTACCTGTGTGCCCCAGGTCCATAAGCTCCAAGTCCATTTGCCACATTATTCTTTTTTTCTCTTTTTTTTTAATTGTACAATGGTGTCATGATAATATAATATAAATTGTGTAAACATGAGGTGGGGTAGAGGGGTCCTGATCCCGAAATCTAGGGCTTAAAAACATGGAATCCCGAGGTCCCGAATTTAAAAAAATTTAAATCCCGACATACCGAAATTCGAAAAAAGAATTCCCGGATCCCGAAAGGATCAATCCCAAAATCCCGAGCTTAAACACACCCGATCCCGGAGTCCCGATAAAGGTCCTACCCCCCCCCCCCCCAACATGGTAAATGATACATTGTAGATGTTAAAATTTAAAAAAAATTGGAAAGGGTCATTCTATAAACATAAATATGTTTTGGAACATGATTAATTGTCACACAAATCACGCCTTAAAACACATCTGTCATATGAAACTATTTTACTAGTTTTAGATTTTTTAGTTTACAAATGTTTGTTACTTTCAATATAAAACCACCAAAGTTATTTTTTGTAAAAATATTTGTTCCGTTCCTGAATACATGTAGTCATGTACACATGAAATATCTGCCACTGGACATTAAGCAAGCACCAATCAATTTATCACAATTACAATCACAATTATGAATTGCATCATAACTTATGTAAATATATTTCTCTAATTCTTATACGATTTATCCTTTTCCTGACCTGTTGATTTTTTTTATTTAGTCAACTTGTGGTTCGTTTGATCTCAGTTCTTCATTGGTCAAAATTTCCATTATGACATCAAATTTTCTTGCTTTCCTCTGAATTTCTTATTGTGACGTCATGAAAAAAGGTGACCATGCCTGATGACGTTGCTATAAAAGGACACATCTTTTTGCAGATCATTTGAAAAAAAGGATTGAGTTTGTCTGCATATTGTTTAAAAATCATTAGAGAAACAGATTCCACCACCAAATCTTGTGCAATACGTTAGTTATCCTCTCTCGACAGTTAAATTTTAAATATTTAAAACGCTTGGCCAGCCTCGCATTTTAAATTTGAAAATTTAACCGTCTCGAGTGGATAAATATTGTATCACACTCGTTAAAGTGGTAGAATCTATATGTATACAAATTTGTATTAGAAATATATAAATAATCAATTGAATATTACTGTATTGTCATGTAATGAAAAATTCCAATCTTTATTCTTATTAAAATCTAACAATAGAGTAAGTGCTTGCCAAAAAGGCCTCTATTTCCTGAATGTACGTGTTGTACACTAGTATGTCTCATTTGATTGATTGATTGATTTTTGCTTAAGCATGTGAACATTTATTGGACAGATACGATAAGATACTCTTATTTAAAAAGGACCGCAAAGTAGTATACTACTGTTCATATGTATGTACAATGATTGACATAGTTAAACCTATATATTTTTGACATTATTTAAGTTACACAGTGTGCTAGTGACCTACATGTATATGTACATGATGTACTATGATATATACGGGGTCAGTAAACTTTATATGGGGTGAAAGCAAAGCTATAATTGTTTTACACTGGTCATTTTGGGGCCCTTTATAGCTTGTGTTAGGTGTGAGCCAAGGCTCTGTGTTGAAGGCCGTACTTTTGACCTATAACTGTTAACTTTTTATACATTGTGACTTGGATGGAGAGTTGTTTCATTGGCACTCATACCACATCTTCTTATTTATATGTAGCATAGCACATTCTTACTTTAAACTTATTTTATAAATGTTATGTTATTTTGTGCTGCAAAGAAACACCTTGCTATTACATGAAAAAAACAATCTGAGTATTAACTACTTGTAGAACCACTGTTCTACACTAGAGCTACAAGATATACTATTAAAGGTTTTCAAATTTTTATGTTCATTTCTTGATTATATTATATATATACACCCTGTACATGTGAATTTCAGAATTTGTAAAGCAGATCCATATATTTCAAACTGAATGAAATCACAGTGAACTTTTCATCATATGTTTTTTGGAAGTACCTCAGTCCAGTTTAATCCATTAACATGATTAAGGTTGATAAACATTCTTGTAGTTTTTGTATCCATTTAATCTTAAAGTTTGTGAATTTCAGATAAACCAGCAAGTATTTGTTTTTAGTTTTTTTTTATCTGTTAGTTATTTGACATTCAACTGTTTAAAGTTATATCTGTCTCAAGAGTTATCATGATGTTTAGTCATGTGAAGATAGTAAACTTTAACCACTTATTTTATTAAAACCAATATTTTATTATCTGTTAATTTTTGCTTGCTATGATTTTAAGATCTAATATAAATATATTCTTTCCAAAGTAATAGTTAGCAATATCAATTACGAATGTAGCTATTTTCTTACAATTTAATGAACAATTACAATATTAACAGAAAATTGTATTAAAAATAATGCTGTTCTCCTTTCAACTTTTAAAAAAATGGAGTCAAAGATAAAAATTTTAATTTGCTGGTGAAAATTTTATTACCCATTGAACTAATTGGTAACCTTTTCCAAAAACTCCATTAGTTTTAGTTTAGTATTTGCGAATTTATTTCATTACAGTTTATGGAAGATGGATACCTTCTTATTGAGAATTTCATCACAGATGCAGAGGCAGACATTATACGTAAAGAATGTGATAAAGTTGTAGATGACATGAATCCAGACGAGCATAACACAGTATTTACAACACTTGAAATGAAAAGGGTAAAAATTTAATATAGTCTACGCTCATTTAAATGCTACTAGATACCTTGTAAGAAATTAAAACACATATGCTTAATATGAAAATATAATTTGTAAAACAATGATATGTAATTGTTACAGACATTCACTAAATAACCTGTACTGGTAGTTTGGTACAGATCACGATCTGAAATTAAAGATGGCTTCCAATACATGCATGATTTTAAAATTGCTGTTTTGGTGGCATTAATTGGCATTGTATATGCAGTAATGTTGATACATAATCAGCCAGCTGAATGGAATCCTTGATGTCTTTATAGTATAAGAGAATCAATATTATATTGCTGAAAAGATATCTCAGAAAAACCAGTTGCATATATATAAGGAAAGACATCAAAAATAAAGAGGGGGAAATTCAAAAGAAATGCAAAGCACACAAAAAAAGGTAATCAATTTCTTAAACATGTATTTAAAGCCAAATTCTGATTTTTATATGGAAGATATTTGTAAAAAACTATCCTTTCCAATGCCTGGGAAGGATGCACCAACGTTTCTGAACAAAGTCTTACTTAAATTTCATCCTTTCAGACATCAGACGATTACTTCCTGAATAGTGGTGACAAAATTAGATTCTTTTTTGAAGATGGAGCAAGAGATGAACAAGGTAAAATGTTCACCATAAAATGGCTATTGTACCATATAAGACTCAGTTGATTAGATCTAACTCCACATGCTATTAGAACCCTATATTAACTTTAAAGAGTTATTTTAACTGAGTGAAAGAGATATATAAGACAATATGCAAGTTGTCTTATGAAGTAATTTTTGTTGATTTTTTTCAGGAAAATTGAAAGTAGAGAAACATCTTTCTTTGAATAAAATTGGTCACGGTAAGTATTTTGCAAATTATATTGTTTGAAAATACTGTTTGAATAGAGCAAACAATTTCAATGGGATCAATACCCCTACATTTACATGAAAATATCCAAATCAAAGGAACAGTGTGTGTATCTTTTACTTTTTATATTCTAATTCGCCAACCTCAAACAAATATGAATTATTTAATCAATAAAACAACACATAAATACATGTATGATAAGTGTGTCTACAGGTATAGCAGCCTTTAATATATTTATTACAACCGTCTATACTCTTCAAACTCATGTCAATCACTATTAGTTATAAAGAGACATTCACTACCAATCAAGGCATATAAAGTATATACACAATCAAAACCATCTACAAAAGGGGAAAATGACATATTACTATAAGTTAATATTTTACAATTATAGCCTTTGTAGGAGGTCGATACAAGGATATATTGACCTGAAAGAAGTATTTTGACTGAGGACGAAGTCCGAGGTCGATATACTTCTTTGGGTCGATATATCCTGTATTGACCTCATAAATAGGCTATAATTGTTATATTATTAATTTCCGACCATATTTGTATCAAAATCGTCATTTAATTTTGTTGTTATTTTATAGATATCATATTGTCTCCAAGACAATAACAACAGATTAGTTGTTATTTCATTTACTTTTTTGATGTTTTTTTTCACATGTTATGTATTTGAAGATTTTTTTTCTTCAAATAATCGATCATAGATATTTTTTTTATAAAACTTTTAACAATATCATGAAATTCATTACATGACGTCACAAAGTATATCAGTTTTTAGATATTCTAAAAATAACCGTGCAATATGCTTTTTGCTATCCGCCATTTTCTCTCTACCTTCAAAAATATAGTTTAACATGTGACTATCCCTGAAGGAATCAAATTAGTTAAAATATACGAATTAATAATATAATTGTATATCCACATAAATAATAATCAACTAAAAAATGTTGGGTAGGTGGGTGGGTAAACATAATTAAGAACTGCTGCTACAGAGACTAATTGGCAAAATTTGAATAACTTCAAATGCTTCAACGAACTCCATAAATAATACTCAATCATGCGTATCACAATTTTCATCAACTGCATATACCCATATAAGCCACATTGTGGGTATATGCCATCCAGTCATAATTAACATTAACAAAACACATGTGCTTAGTATAAACACATGTTTATAGTAAACAAACATTTGACCCATACTACATCATGTGTACTAAAACTTTAATGAATATATTTTCTATCTGGTATGCAAGAGAAAACTTGCCTTCATCATTAAGGTTCTTTTGCAGCATCTTTATGGTGCTATCAAAGAGTATGTTTATTAAAACATGGCATTATTATACCTCAGTATGTTTTTTCTATATAAAAAATACTGAAATAGTTGTGCTATTTCATTCCACAGACTATTTGCCAGTCAATAGTTTCAAAGACTATTACCCCAGTTAATAGTTTAATAATCATATTTCCCGTACTTTTTCATACTTATTTTTCATTGGACAACAATGACGTCATTAACTATTCTGCTTGGATTTGTGTGCTTGGCAACGTCAAACTCTGATATCGTAAACGGTATAATCTGTTTGTGTCTGTCGTAATTTCAAATTAATATATCACTTACCAGAAGCAATTGAAAAAGAAAAAGAAAATCTTCGCGACGCATTTTTAAAAGATCTAAAATATAGTAAATGTATAATACGGGTCTGTCGTCCTCTTCAGAAAATGTGATTGCTTTGGTGTACAGTACTTTAGCTAGTCTAGTAGAATTTATCATATGCACGGGAATTAATACACAAGTATTCCTAGTCTTGATTTCAGTAAATGAAATATTTACAAATACAACACGGACTATAAAAAAACTTATAGTTCATTTTGTTTATGTGACATTTTTCTTTTCTTTCAGATGATGTATGTAGAATTTTTAGAAAGATGGTTTGTTCGGTATAATAAAACACTTATTGACTGGTTATGAGGGTAATAGCAAGTTTGTTGTCCCTTTGATACTAACTATTGCCCTCGGCTTTGCCTCAAGCAATAGTTGGTATCTCAGGGACAACAAACTTGCTATTACCCTCATAACCAGTCAATAGGTGTATACTATTATGAGCCAAATGTTGTTTATTATTTATATTTATCAAAAATGCTATTTTCTAATTGGCATCATAAATATTGAATAGATATAAGAAGATGTGGTATGAGTGCCAAATGAGACAACTCTCCATTCAAGTCAAAATTTATAAAAATAAACCATTATAGGTCAAAGTTCGGTCTTCAACACGGAGCCTTGGCTCACACCTTATATTAGAAAGCATAATCAATGAACTTTTCATAAATTTGGTAGAAAGAAAGGATTTGAATTACAAATTTTATCAAGGTTCAATGGCAGATCTTCATAAAATTTTACCCCCTTTAAAAATTCCAAATGTATGTCTCGCCAAAAAAAAAAGAGGAATTGATGAGTAAAAATTAATTTCAGATAATAAATGCCCTTAAATTATAATATTACTTGTCAATGTATTCCAATGAGGTAATTAAGGATTTCTCCTTTTTACAGCATTACATGTACTGAATCCAGTTTTTAAGAAGCTGACATTTGATGAAAGGATAAAGGTATTTATATATAGAAAAACAATAGTAAAATGTATTACTTCATTTTAATTTGATATGATAATGAAGATAGATTGATTTTTGGTGTTTAGTGTGGTGCCACTTTCAGCTCTCTTGACTATTTCATGCAAGCCAGTTTTTATATGACCGCAAAAATTTTTCGGTCGTATATTGGTATCACGTCGTCATTGTCATCCGAAGACACATTGCTTTCCGGACAATAACTTTTGTTTAAGTGTATGGATTACTATGAAATTTTACCATAAGGTTTATGATTACAAAAGGAAGGTTGGGATTGATTTTGGGGGTTATGGTCTTAACAGTTCAGGAATTAGGGACCAAAAATGGGGCCCAAATAAGCATTTTTCTAGTTTCCAGATAATAACTTGTGAAATGGTGTATGGATCTCTCTGAAATTATACCACAAGTTACCATATCACAAAGGGATGGTAAGAATTTGCTTTGGGGGTTATGGCTCAAACTGTTTAGGAATTAGGGGCAAAAAAGGGGGAAAAACAAGGGTTTCCAGGTTAATTGACAATTACTAAAGTACAAAACATAATTTTAAAGCAGTGTAAGGGAGGTAATTCAAACACATATTGTCAAATTACATCCCTTACACTGCTTGTAAATTATTTATAAAGAAATGTATTGTCTTTAGGTGATTAGCTGTCAATTTATTTTTAGAAGTTACTATTTTTAAAATGTTTAATAAAGGTAATTTATTTATAGCCATGATTATGTATGTGAAGGAATTTTATATTTAGGTATTACTATTTAATGTTGCTGATGGAGGCTTTTTAATTTAAAAAAAGCATTTTTCTAGTTTCCAGACAGTAACTTGTGATTAAGTGTATGGATCTTTCTGAAATTGTACTACAAGGTTCCATACTACAAAGGAAAGACTGCAATTGAGTTTGATGGTTAATGCTAAAAGGGGGATTCAAAAAGTTGGGGGGAAGGGGGGTTTCCAATTTTTTCAAATTTGGGTAGCGTCACTTTTACCGTTCTTCAGTTATGTCCCTTTATGACTAAATGCTATGCAAGCGGTGGCATCATTAGTGTCCACATGTGGACACTATCCACATTTATTTTAAAAGGGTTCATATTTTTTTTTCAAAATTTTCAAAATTTCACACAAATTTTTGAAAAGTTTCAAGAAGAAATCTTCAATTGCATAGTATTGCGCATTAGATTTGTAAGATCTTTGACTACATTTATTTTGTGTCAGAAACCTATATTATGTCAAAAATTTGATCACAATCCAAATTCAGATAGTATCAAGCTTGAATATTGTGTCCAAATTTGCCCCAACTCTTCAGGGTTCGACCACTGCGGTCGTATCAGGCTGCGCTCAGCGAAGCATTTTATTGGATTATATCTCAAAAATTTAAGCAGTTAGAGTAATATTAAGCAAGTAGAATTGATCAAAAGGTTAAGGACTTTCTCCTGAGGAAGTTGAAGAAAAATTTGACAATCCATTTTGGAGTTATTGCCCCTGAAATGTCATTTTGTGCAAATTTCACAGTTTTTGGTTATTATCTGGAAAACTAAAACAGACAGAGAGATTTTTTTTAACAGTTAATATGACTAAGACAATAAGATCTACAAATAAGTCAAATGGTTGAAATTGTAGATTGACCCCCTTATAGAAGTTATTGCCCTTGAAAGGCGGTTTTTTACAGCTTTGCACACAAGCTATAATAAATAACGAGAAACACTGTATAAACAAGCAAAAACATTCAGCACAAGAAGATCCACTAATCAGTTATAATTGCCAAAATTATCAACAGACTCTGATACTCCTTATAGAAATTATTTTCCTGAATGAAGATTTTATCCATTTTTTGCACTTTTGTCAAAAACTAGAGGAGTTAGAGAAAAACTTTAAAAAGCCAAATAAAAACACAGTAACATAAGATAAGTCAATATGGTCAAATTGTCACACTATTTATTGCCATTAAATGAGTTTTTTCAATCTAAACTGACCTAAAAAAATGATATAAAATATATATAAAATCAATAGATAAGCAAACATAACTAATTGCAAGTAAGGAAAAGAAATAAATATCAAAATGGCATATTTTTTACCAGGTTAGCGGTTCTGGCTCTTGGGTGTCTCTTTAAATTGAAAGTTTTGTCTTTTGAGCTGTTAGTTGCTATTCTTCAGAAAAACATAAAATTTGTCAATGAATTTACATTATCAATGAAGTAAATCGCATGTTAAAGCATACCAATAAATCTTTGAAAGAACAAGAAGTTATTACAAAACTTAGAAAAGAAAAGCTATGCAGTTACTAAAGGATTTTTTCTTATTCAAACAAAGGAAGTTCTATTCACATAAAGAGCCTTATACCAAAGAAGCTTTATTTGTGTAGAGCCACGTGGTTGATCCAGTATAGGTCCTAGAGGGCTTATCTCTTCAATTGCTAATAAAAATTAAAAATCTCATGTTTTTCATGATTTCTATGACTTTTTTATGTCCCCGCCATAGTGGAGAGGGCATTAAGTTTCAAAATTGGTTTCCTTCCTCTAACTTTAGTTTGCCTCAACCAAATGTTATGAAACTTATACACAATGCTTATTACTACAAAACACAGATCAAGTTTGAATTTTGGTGGCGTCACTTTTACCGTTCTAGAGTTATTCCCCTTTACAAATGGAAAAATTGCTAATTTTTTGGCTCCGTTCTCTAACTTTAGTTTGCCTCAACCAAATGTTATGAAACTTACACACAATGCCTATTACCACAAAACACAGATCAAGTTCGAATTTTGGTGGCGTCACTTTTACCGCTCTAGAGTTATGCCCCTTTACAAATGGAAAAATTGCTGAAATATTTGTTTCTTTTCTCTAACTTTAGTTTGCCTCAACCAAATGTTATGAAAATTATGCACAATGCTAATTACCACAAAACACAGATCAAGTTCGAATTTTGGTGGTGTCACTTTTACCGTTCTAGAGTTATGCCCCTTTACAAATGGAAAAATTGCTAATTTTTTGGTTCCGTTCTCTAACTTAAGTTTGCCTCAACCAAATGTTATGAAACATATACACAATGCTTATTACCACAAAACTCAGATCAAGTACAAATTTGGGTAGCGTCACTTTTACAGTTCTGAGTTATGTTCCTTTTTTAATGTTATATGCAAGCAATGGCAACATCTGTGTCCCATGGACACATTCCCCATTTATTTTAGCATAAATTAGTCCAAAAAAGTATCTCTCACATTTTCAGGAATTATGTACACACACACCCCCCCCCCCCCCCCCCCCCCCCCCCTTTTCCTTTTTCAAAATTCTTGGATCTGCTCCTGGAGCTTCATCGTTCCAAGAAGTAAGTTCTATTCATAGAGAGCCTCATTGTTCAAACCTATGTTTCTTCAACTCAGTATGTGGCAAATTATAAATCCCCTACCGACGAAGTTGAAGGGGACTTTAGGTTTGCACTCTGTCCGTCTGTCTGTCTGTCCATCCGTCAGTCCGGCAAATCAGTTTTCCACGATTTTTTCTTCGTGCTTGAAGATATTGATTTGATATTTGGTATATAGTTGAATCATGACTAGTTACAGATCAAGTTAGAATTTTGTTCCGATCTGATGATTTTGTGCAGAGTTATGGTCCTTGGACTTAGAAAATTCACAAAGTAATCAGTTTTCCACACTTTTTTGTGTCATGCTTAAAGATATTGATTTGATATGTGGTACATAGTTTTTTCATGACTAGTTACAGATCGATTTCAAATTTTGTTCCGGCCTGATGATTTTGTGCAGAGTTATGGTCCTTGGACTTAAAAAAAATAATCAGTTTTCCACATTTTTTTTCATCATACTTGAAGATATTTATTTGATATTTGGTATATAGGGGACTATGTATTTCAATACTCTCAGAATGCTTGTTTTTTATATGCCATCTCTTTCTTACTGTGGTAACAAAGTTTTGACAATTATTAAAAAAATTTGCCCATAAGTTCTCTGATATAAATATTTCACATTCCATCCTTAACAGAGGGAGGTATATTTAAAGGTCAATAACCATTTTAAAATGCAAATGATAAACACTAGATAACCTTTAAACCCTTTGTTATCCAGATGATTATATGTATAGAATTATAAAACACCCCTGACCAGTTGCTGCCCTGGTCAGTTCTTAGTTACATTATTTACTTAATAATTTAGTGATAGACCTAAGAAAAAACTTAAGATAACTTGAGAAAAACATCTTAAATAATTTGTCCAACACCTGTATCAACTACGTCTACGTCATCATTTGGTCTCTGGTAGATATTCATCTCATTGGCAATCATACCACATCTACGTCATCATTTGGTCTCTGGTAGATATTCATCTCATTTTCAATCATACCACATCTACGTCATCATTTGGTCTCTGGTAGACATTCATCTCATTGGCAATCATACAACATCTACGTCATCATTTGGTCTCTGGTAGATATTCATCTCATTTTCAATCATACAACATCTACATCATCATTTGGTCTCTGGTAGATATTCATCTCATTTTCATTCATACAACATCTACGTCATCATTTGGTCTCTGGTAGATATTCATCTCATTTTCAATCATACAACATCTACGTCATCATTTGGTCTCTGGTAGATATTCATCTCATTGGCAATCATACAACATCTATGTCATCATTTGGTCTCTGGTAGATATTCATCTCATTTTCATTCATACCACATCTACGTCATCATTTGGTCTCTGGTAGATATTCATCTCATTGGCAATCATACAACATCTACGTCATCATTTGGTCTCTGGTAGATATTCATCTCATTGGCAATCATACCACATCTATGTCATCATTTGGTCTCTGGTAGATATTCATCTCATTTTCATTCATACCACATCTACGTCATCATTTGGTCTCTGGTAGATATTCATCTCATTGGCAATCATACAACATCTACGTCATCATTTGGTCTCTGGTAGATATTCATCTCATTGGCAATCATACCACATCTACATCATCATTTGGTC